TAAAGTTTGTCAAATATCACGGACATAAGTGCCGATTTACAAGGAGAAACGCTGTTTTTGGTATGACGTAAATGGAGGAACCTACATTAAAATTGTTAGGAATTGGTTTAAACCAACGTTTGAAATAGTTTTATATCAATTTAGAATGTGATGGAAGCTTTCTCCGAAATTTAGACTCGAAAATTTGAACAATAGGAAAATTGATCAAAAAACACCAAAAAACCTTTTTTCCCAACAATTTTTTAAATACTTTTTTCAAAAAGTTTCATGAATTTGTATTAGTTTTTTGCGTAGAACTCATTTTTTTTAACTTTTTGTCTCATGAATTTAGCCAGAAATATGTTTTTTCAAGAGTGGACCTATAATTATGTCCTTTTGCATTTTTCGTTTTTTGATAAAATCGAAATTTTTTCTTGAATCAAAAACGACAGACAGGAAAGGATACGTACAGTAACATGAAAAGTGAATCCCTCAAATACTAGTACCAGGAACGTTTATCAGGTCTCTCGAGATTTTGAAAATATAACGAAACGTCAAGTGTATAATTATGTCCCGCAGTGTATATTGTTATCGGTACCCTAAAATATAAGATAAATCAAAATCCGCAAAAGAATATTTTCTTTTAATTTTGAAGAATCAGGAGATGTAAAAATGGCAAGTCCGCTAATTCCGAACTAGTCTGTTTGAAAAGATTCCGATTTTCTCCAAGATAAGCAAAAGAAAAAATAAGCAAAAAAGCTATCGATGTCTTTTGGTCCGTCTTAACGGAGCATCACCAGGTATAAATGAACGAAACTTATGTATTTCATCTACTTTTTCTTATTCTGAAAAAGTCAATTATTATAATACTAATCACAATTTTCAAACAGACACATTTTTATTTTCAGAACGATTAAAATAATATTTCGAATGAATTATTGGGGAAAATGTTTTAGATCAGGCGAAGAATGGTCTCAGGGTTTTGAAGTAAAAATATAAGGAAGTAGAGGAAAAGATAAAGCAATTAGCTGAAAAAACATTATTCAGAAAAGAACAATAGAATAAAGTAAACAATTAAAAATTATTCTTTCGAAAAATCAATGGAGATCTTTTGGAGAAGAGCCTCAACAGTTGATACGTCTACTTCAGGATGATTGGCCTCCATAATAGCTTCAATATCGGACACTTCAGTAACACCAGAGAGGTCGGCGTTCTGAAAAAGTTTTCTGACAAATTGAACATGTTGGTTTTCATTACAACCATCAGATCTTCCATATTCCATCGAAGCGCCGACTTCAAATTCTGTACTAAACTCTTCTGCCATTCCTTTGATAAATACTCCTCACACTTCCTAGTAACCATGGGCGCATCATACATACCTGCCGAATGACGGAGTCCTGAGACAGTTCCATCTGAAATTCAAAGATTAGCAAAAATTTTTTCCGAAACAATTTTCTACCATCAACAGAAGATTCTCCATAAATGACACTCCCATCCTTCTCGTCTTCATTAGTTTTCAATATTTTCGCCACCGATTCTTCAATTACTGGGAGCTTTTCAGTGATTTCATCGAATTTTCGTTTATGAGATTTATTGATCTCTTCAGTTCCGGCACTGACCATTATTTTCAAGGTTCCAAGGGTTTCGGTCTTATGATCTTCTTCCGGTACAGCTTCGCCGCTCTCGTTCTTAGCCATTTTTGTAGAAGATTCTGAAAATTCAACAATTGATATTATCAAGGTTCTTGCCGAATTTCCAGATAAATCATTACGAACAAATAAGAATTGTTGTCAAATAGAGAAAAAGAAAGCTGGAAATTCTTTCATGACCCTCCCGTGGTGGGCGTGGCTTCAACTAATTGAAACATAATTGGTTCTTTCAAAATTAGTCAGATTTTCGCGCAGAAGATTGCGTGTGCATCTCTTAAAAATGGTGTGTACGTCAATTTTGTTTGTGGGATTTTCACGCTCCAACAAAAAAATTGCGTGTGACTCTTCAATAAATTATGTTCCCAGCCTCTCCTGCACGTAACTATTTTTTTTCGAAGCCAAATTGTCCTCGTATGCTCCGCCCCTTCTCCTGAAACTTTGATGAACTGACGGAAAAGCTCCAACTAATTGAAGAATCAGTTGAAAATTCGTGTTTTGTAGGAAACTTTCGGAAAAATTTTCAATAGGAAATTTTCAGAAAACCAAATTTCGGAAAACTTGTCTGGGTGGAAAGCGTTTTATAGAATAATTTCAGAAAGAAGGTGCAAATCGACCGAAACGTTTCTCTTTGCAATCTTTTAGACGCCTTCGAAGTCAATTCCAATTTTCGCCAAACTTGGGCATGCTTACTTATTCTTAAGCTCTTATCTTAAGGAATTCAAAACTGAAATATATATTTCACAACTTCAGAAATGAACAAAGTTATGGTTAAAACTTTGCGCTGTTTCTTTTTCTCTCAATCTCTCCCTCGAGGACATCTACAAATTTAGGGTCATTGCCTGCCCGGATATAACCAATTTGCGTTTCTTCACACGTCCCCATCATACCTCTAGCTCAGTTCTTGTTTCGACGACCTAACAGAACGGACGTCTAAATATCCACGGGAACTTTCTTGAAAATCTTTTGAATGAACGGATTCTGGAAGGTTCTTTTATTTTTTCTGAAATTATATCTATACCTATTCATTCCGAATAGTCCTATTAATGAACGGACTTTTTCTTATTTTTTTTTTGAAAATTCGAAAGTGACGCTGCTCCCCAGACTACCTCATCAATTGTGGCTGTTAAAATGAAAAACCCTAGTAAAAGAAGAGCCGCCCAACGAGCCATGGAATCTATGACCGGTGGAGCCAACACGTTGGAAGAAACGGAGCATCGAAGACCGAACGAGTGAAGCGTCGAGCTGCGAGGAAGGCCAGCAAACAGAAAGAGCCACTTGTGGAAGGCACCGATGAAGCTTCTACAGAGATCCAGTCTTGGTAAGTGCATTCGTGAAAAAGTCATTAACTAATTTATAATGTTATTCCAGGTAAAATCACTATCCTCATCCTCTACAATCCCAAAAAGAGGTGCAAGAACATGCCTCAAGAAGTCGGCTCCAAGACGAAAATGGCAAAGCATCTCTTCTACAACTATCTCCGAGTTGTGAAAAACGCTAAAGCACCAAACGAGCTCGGTGAGTCATTTTTTGTGTTAAGACGACAGAAAGACTGACTGAACCTATTCAGAAGCAACCTCTCCGCGCCAAATGCAACCTCTCTCCGCGCCAAAAATGGCTAACGCATGAAAAGGCCGTCTTCGAAGAGCATTTGGAGCAATTGAGAAGAGGGTTCATCAGAAGCCGGGATTCCCAATTTCGTGCGGATCGAGGCTAGCGACGAGATGGATGATGATGAGGATGCCGCAGTCAGAGCCGACGAGAAGCGTGATGTTTTCAATACTTTTTTTATTTTTACCCTCTCCCACATTCCCCCCTCATTTATTTTTTCATTTTTTAAGTTACATTTATTGAAGTGCAAATAAACGAATAATGAAATATACAACTATTTTTGTTGGAAAAATTTTCATTTCTCACGCCTTGAAAACCTATTTTTCGTTATTAATTCAGCGAGTTTTCAGAGAGTTCATTGCCCAATTTCTCCAATGATGATAAAGTCCCCAGAAGTTTGAATGACAAGCTTTTCGAAAATCGAAAGCAGCAGCAGGCAATTTTATGGAAGGTGGGAAATTTTTTTCTGTTTCTAAAAAGTTTCGCGAGTTCAATATGTGCTCATTTTGTTTTAATACCTTAACATAATAATCTTGAATGTTTTTTCAACGCTTCCATTGCTGACAGCCGACGAAAAAGATGCAAGTTGAAGAAAATCAATGAAAAAACACCAAAAACGAGGATTACTAGAAAGCATATGAACTAAATATTTCATTATTGATCGAGAGGACGGAGAATTGTATGCTACTTGATATTTATATCAATTTGGATTGCTCCGAACACCGTCTGATGCATCGTCACCATTTTTGTCGATAGGTCGAAAAAGAAGCATCAGTACGTTGTGTTCAAGAAAGTTGCAGATTTTGTAAACCAGGATGTGTTTTTCATAGGTTTTCTTGCTCCCATCATTCACTTCAAACACAAAGTGAAACTCGGCGGCTTGAAGAAGGTACAAGTTGAAGAAAAGTGCACTAAAATCTTGATGGATGTGGAAAAAAAGTTGAAGAAGGCGTTTCCACATTTGGACGACGATCGAGCAGGACAGGATCCGAGTTTATCACACGATAGGTCGAATGGAATCGATTCTCCTCGACAGTTCTGCCTGCTGGTAAGTAATTACATTGAAATTGAGAAATACTTTGGCTAAACATACTCTATTCCCAGATATGGACCATCACAATAACTCGAAGCAGCAGTTAGTGAGCTAATGTTATCAAGACTTTCAATTCTCTGTCTTCCCGTCGTCAGTCTTCGCAATTTTCTACTGTGTGTGGCTTAGCAACATCTGCTAATGCTGAATTTAAGCCAGTTGGAAGCCCGAAACAATATATGAAAGACCGAATGAAAACGTTTTGGGCGCCGTTTGATATCCAAGAATCACTCTTTCCCGGTCAGTTCTTCTGAAAGACCTATTGATACTCTCCGTCATAAGTTTTGTTTCAGAATTCCTCCTTGGTCATCTCTATTCTGGAGGGCAGAAAATATGTATTCAATCAGAATTATCTTCAGCAAGAACTTCCATTCATTCACGCTCTGCACATAGCAACGGATTTGCCAACCAAATCGTTTTGTTTATTAAACAATGAATAATTTTGGATAACTTTGCTTTGAATCATGAAGTTTTTTAACCACACTCGACTTTAGTATGTGTGTGTGTGTGTGTACGTTCAAGTGGATTTATGAGATTTTCAAATTTTAGGACTGAAATCCTGAACGACGGCGTGAGTGAATGTTCCTATTATCATTCCTAATCAAAATGAGCGAAATCAAAACTCGCAAAAAATCTGAAAGTTTCAAAATCAAGAGAAATCGGGATGAATTGAAAATCTTGAAAGTTTCAGAAAATTCGAGGAAGCAGAATTCGGAAATGCAGACTATATTCAGTATTTGCAGATTGGAACATTTTTCTTTGAGTTTTGTGAAATTTCAGAATATGAATCCCAGAAGATGATGAAAATCAAAAGCTAAATGTAAAAAGCTTCAATAAGAGTATGCATATGACCGAAATCTTTGCTTTCGTAACCTTTCCCCTTCGAATTAAATCCCAATTTTTACTGAACTTAAGCATGTTTAGACTCATTTCAAAACTCTTATCTCAAGGAATTCAAAAATAAAATACTTATTTCTCAATTTCAGTGATGACATAAGTTATGGTCAAGACTACATTGTCTCAATTTCTCCCAGTCCTTCTTTTGAGCGTACATACAAATTTGGGGCCATTGCCCCCCTGTTCGTATTTAACCAAATCAATATTTTCGTGTGTGTGTGCGTCAGCCAGAGAGGAACGTCGATCAGGAAGCACAAGAATGTAAGAGACGCAGAGAATTGATCTGACCCCTAGTCCCCATCATACCTCTAGTTGCCCCGTTCTTCACGCACCTAGCTCAGTTCTCGTTTCGACGACCTAACAGAATGGACGTCTTTATCTTCTCAGGAACTTTCCAGAGAATCCTATGAATGAAAGGATTCTGGAAAGTTCTCTTATTTTATCTGAAATTACTTTTTTACAATTCTCAATTCATTCTCAATTTTCCAACAATTCATGGACTTTTTTCTCAATTTTTTAAAAAAGTTTGACTATAAAAGGTAAGTTTTTTTTAATTCAAAAGTGAGTTTTAAACTACAGAAAGTTATTTTAAAGCTAACAGCTAGAAATATATGTTATCAGTTCAAAAAAATAATCGCGCGGATGAATTTGAAAACAAAAAAGTTATATACTGTAAAATGCAGTCCGTCTTTCTAAATTTCATGCGAAAATTTCCACGCCAACCACAAACTTATAATTTCCAGATAAGAAAAAGAAGCTACCCAAGAACAACGAGATGAGATTAATAAGTTGGAGATGGATGACGACCTCGAAATCGAAGCTTATCGACAAGGAGACCATGAACCAGAGGTAAATTCTGAAAATGTAAAAAAAACGAAAAATATTAGAATCTTGCAGAATGTACCTCATTTCCCGATGATTCCAGACCACATGCGATTCGACACTGATAAAATTCTGCGAGACACGATTCTCCAGCCAAATTTTATAGAAGTTTTCATATATTTTTATCGTTCTGTTCTACTTGGCAGGACTAGACATGTGATAAATTGAATTATTTGATTTTTCTTCAAGTTTTTTTCCTAGTGAATAAACGATGTATTGAATGAACATTGTTTTTCTGTAAATCTTCAAAAACCAGCAATCGATTTCATTTGCTCGAATATCTTCAACTAAAAAACTCTAATACAGATTTTCAAAATCCTTTTTCTCAGGGATGCCCGAGGTTTCTCTTACCTTCAAATTCAAAGCGGAACAGATGAAAACAATTCATTGTTTGTGAGAATCAGTAGCCTTTCCCGTGAGTTTTCATTATTATAAAATTTCGCGAAAAATTGATTTGTGCTCTGGAAAGAAACCACGTGAAATTGTCATAACTCTCCTGAAGTCTCATGAAAAAAATAAGCAAGAAACTGCTCTGGAAAGCCATGAAAGCTTAACAATAGATTGAATTCGTTGCAGGAAAGCTAGAAGAAGGAAATTTCAAATGATAAATGTTGCGAGCGAGCCGTGCGAAGATCTAACTGATGAGAAAGCTCGAAGAAGTAAGGAGGTTCGCTGCAAAGGCAACTTTAAAGATAATGACTCTGGAACGAGCACTGGAAGAGGAGAAAAACACGTCGGCAAGGTGGATAAACAAATTGGAAAATTCTAAATGTGAGACGAGAAAAATACAGTGAAAAAAATAGAAAGAAAGTTAAGACACTCGAGAACAGCCGAGAAGAGCATCGTCGTACTAAAAGTTTCATGGGATCCGTTTGCGCAAGGCTTGACGGAAAGAAAAAATCGTTGAGTTTTTCGGTATATCAAGTTCGAAGAAAAGTTGAGGAGAAGCCGGAGGGATCAGGGGGCAGAACGTCACAGCGAGTTTGAGAAGCTGAAACGAGGACAGGAGCAACCGATGTGGAAAAGTGGTCGAACAGTGTGTGTCCATATTTGTATGACAATCGAGCAGGACGGGATTCGAATTTTATTACAATAGAGGTCGATTTAAGTTGGATCTCCTCAATAGTTCTTCAAAATGGTTAGTTGTGACAAATTGAAGAACTCGATAACATAACATTCACTATTTTCAGATATGGACTGTGGATATCATCCGGAGCAGAGTACATGAATTGTGTCAGCCGATTCTATAACGACTTTCAATCAGTCTCCTGAAGTTTTTTCTTTGACTGGGTGCCTGGCGACATCTGCAGACGTTGAATCTTACATTAGCAAGTCTTTCAAAACCGACGGAATATGAGTTTAGACTCAGAAGAAGATGAAATCAAAACGTTCAAGGCGCCATTTGAGATTTCAGATCCACAATTTCGCGGTTAGTTCTGTTGTAAGACCTATTGATTTTCTGCGTCAATAGTTTTGTTTCAGATTTCATCGTCAGTCATCTCGTTTCTGGACAGGAAGAAACATTGATCTCATCGAAATCATCTCAAACAAGAATCTACCCTATATTCACCTTCGGCACGCAGTAGCAACCATTTTCTTTAATTTTTTTGCTCATTTAATAATAAATAATTCTAGATAATTGTGCTTCCCATAATTTTTTCAGCTGATGGCTCCAGAAAAATCGAAAAAACAAAAAATTCGATTGTCCATTAAAGCTTTAGTATTATCAGATTGGATAACCTTTTTCCAAATTTCGGGAATTCCCTTCAATTTTTAAAAATCCCAGAGGTGTAAATAGCATATTCCCAGGTAACAATAATCAATTCTCCTTTTTTCAGAGATTCATGAGATTTTCATATATTTCAGGGTAGAAATTCAGGTAGAGGGTGCAAATCAGGGCTTGAAGGGCTTTAAGAATACTATGACTTTGGCCGAATTTCGTGTCTTTTAGACGCTTTTGAATCAAGTCCATTTTTTTCCAAATCTTAGCTTGTTTAGATTCATTTTGAAGCTCTCATCTCGAGAAGTTCAAAAATAAATTAACTATTTTCAAAATTTAGAAATGAACAAAGTTATGGTCAAAACTTTACACCGTCTGTATTTCTCCCAGTCTCTCCTCGGAGAACACATAAAATTTTGTGATGGTTTTGGTTGCCTGCCTGCACATAACCTATTTGATATTCTCCGTAGGTGCACAGACACCGAGGTCAATTGACGAGAGAGCATAGAAAATCTCAGAGACGCAGCTGCGAAAATCGATAGGTCCTCTAGTTGCCTCGTTCTTCACACACTTAGCTCAGTTGTTTTCACGACGACCTAAATGGATGGACGTCTCAATATTTCCGGGAACTTTCCAGAAAACCCTTTACATGAATGGGTTCTGGAAAGTTCCCTTATTTTTCTGATATTATCTTTATTCTAGTTTTTTTTCTGAACATTTTACTTTAAAAAGTGAGTTTTTTCTTTTTCAAAAACGTGTTAAAAAACTTTAATTTTAAATTTCATCTGGAATTCGTAATTTCCAGAAGCACCACCCGCAAGGAGTGGATCCTCAACGTCCTCCTTCTCCGCCACACATCGTCGACGAGCATCGACATCTTCAGAAGCTGGTAAGTGATGGAAATTTGACTGAAATTACGAAAATATTCTAAAATAAATCTGAAACAATGTCTAGAAAACTTGAAAAGTTTTTGAAATCAGTCAGAAATGGCAGGAAATAATTTAAAATAGGTCAAAAAATGCCCTAAATTGTCCAAAATTGTCAAATTGTCAAATTTGAGCCCCAAAATGGAATATTTCAGCGCCAGTAGCCGTACAGGCACTTCGATCACAACACGGACATTGGATTCATGGCGTACAATATGCAACGAATTGGGAAGGAAAGGCAACAATTAATTTCGAACGTTATGAACTGTTATTTGCAAATTTTCTGCGAGATTTTAATATTTTTATTGAGAATAAATGATGAATTAGATGAAAATTGTTGTTTTTTGTTGATTAACTAACTATTGCTCTCTTTTGCTCAAGTACTTTCAATAAGAAAATTGAATTTAAAAGTTGAACCTTTTTTCAGCAATGTCTTCTAAGTCTTCCACAAACAAAGAAGAACGGATAAAAGGAGAAATTCGAATTTGGAGAAATCTTTCTGTGATACGGAGCGATCCTTGCAAATGTTGAGTTGGTGAGGAAGCTCGAAGAAGCAAGAAAAGCAGCAGCCAAGGCAATTTGATAGATCGCGAAAATTCCAAAGGATCCGTTGGTGCAAAGCTTGGGGGAAAGAAAAGACCGTTGATTCGATCAGTGTATAAAATTTGAAGAAAAGTTGGGGAGAAGCCAAAAGGATCAAGAAGTGGAACGTCGGAAAGAGTTTGAGAAGCTTCTGCGGAGACAGAAGTAGCCGATGCGGGAGTTCTTCATGGATGTGATGATGATAAAAAAGAAAAAGGCACTATTCTGAGATATGGGCCATCGATATCATCTGAAGCAACAAATTTGAAAACCAAGAAACACTATTTCGCGGTAAGTTTTTTTAACCTATTGATACTTTCCGTCATAAGTTTTGTTTCAGATTTCCTTACATCAAAATCATCTCCAGAGAGGACTTCCCTTATTTTCCTTTTGCACAAACAACGAGCATTTGCCTCCATCGTTATGTTCACTCAATAATAAATAAATTTGGATTATTGTGTTCATCATGAAATTGTCTAATCACACTCAACCGTTATTGTGTTTGTGTGTATCGAGTTGGATTCATGAGCTTTTCAAATTTCAAGACTGGAATTCCGGAAAACTGTTCAAATCAAACCCTAAAGAGCTTCAATAATACTGTACTCATGTCCAACATTTGAGTCTTTGGAATCTTTTGGACGCCTTTGAACTCAATTCCAGTTTTTACCAAACCAAACCATGTTTAGACTTATTTTCAAGCTTTTGTCAGAAGGAATTCAAAAATGAAAGAATTATTTTCAAACTTTGGTGATGAACGCAGTTATGGTCATAGCTTTACACCATCTATATTTCTCTCAGTCTCTCCTCGGAGGACACATAAACTTTTGGGATTGTTTTGATTGTCTGCCTGCATATGACCAGTTGATATTCTCCGTATGTGCACAGACACCGAGGTCAGTTGACGAGAGAGCATAGAAAATCTCAGAGACGCAGCTGCGAAAATCGATAGGTCCTCTAGTTGCCTCGTTCTTCACACACTTAGCTCAGTTGTTATCACGACGACCTAAATGGATGGACGTCTCAATTTTTCCGGGAACTTTCCAGAAAACCCTTTACATGAATGGGTTCTGGAAAGTTCCCTTATTTTTCTGATATTATCTTTATTCTAGTTTTTTTTCTGAACATTTTACTTTAAAAAGTGAGTTTTTTCTTATTCAAAAACATGTTCAAAAACTTTAACCCTTTTAAATATTTTCGTTGGTACAAAGTTTCGAATTCCCATGAAAATTCGAAATTATTTGAAATTCCCAATTCAAGGAAAACTTGATCCACGCGCCTTATTTTAGAAAATTTTGGAAAATTATCAATAAATCGGTCTGAAATAGTTTGAAACAGGATTTTAAATAATATAAAGTTGGTCTAAATCGGTCCGAAATAGGTCTAAATTTTAGACGGCTCAAGTTAGTCTTAAACGGTAAACAAATTTGTATAAACTGACCCAACAGTCGTCTGAAATTTGGCCGGAATATGACTTTAAATTTTATCTGAAATGCATAATTTCCAGAAGCACCACCCGCAAGGAGTGGATCCTCAACGTCGAAAATTGACTTTGCACTAAACTGTCGAAAATCGTCCGTTTTTTTCAGGACTGCCTCCATCATCAACGCCTTCGTCGTCAAGTTTCTCCTCCATCGACGTCGTCAGAAGCACAAGGTAATAGTTTTGTCCAAAACTCTAAAAATCGGTTTAGAAAGCTTCTGAAATCGGTCAAAAATGGTAAAAATAGTTATAAATAAGTCAAAAAAGATCCTAAATTGTCCAAATTAATCTAAAATGAACCAAAATAGTTTAAAGTTGATCTAAATTTGCCCGAAATTGGTCTAGCATCATCTAAAATTGGCCAAAAATTAACCAATATTGGTATAAAATGACGCGAAATTGGCTAAAAACGGGTCCAAAATTGGTCCAAATTTTTTGTTCTGGAAAATCATTAAAAATCTGTCCGAATCGACCCAAAATTAGTTTTAAATGACGCAAAAGCCTAAAATTGAAAGAAATAAGAATAAGATGTAAAAAAAGCCGAATGATCCCGAATCAATCTAAAATAGTTCGAAACTAATCTAGAATAGTCCAAAATGAGCCGAAAATTATTTGAAATTAGTCTGAATGAACAAAATCAGTTTGAAATAATCTAAATGGGCTGAAATCGGTCTGAAATTGTCCAAACGTTTTGTCTAAAACGGCTAAAATTGATCCTAAAACTATCCAAAACTATGTTTTCAGCAGCCACATCATCGTCATCTAGTGGCTTCTTCGTCGACCTAGCAGCCTGCGGAAGAAGGACTTTGGCAGTAACTGGACGTCAGGACATTCCCAATCCACTAGCCTCTCCAGAAGCAATAAAAAAATCTAGACTTTTTGTTTTGTTATGATTTTTTTTTGAATAAACGATGAATTAAATGAAAATTGTTATTTCTGTAAATCCTCGAAGACCAGCAGTTGATTTCATTTGCTCGAATATCTTTAAACTTGATTCCAGGTCTTTCCAAGTCTTTTTTCAGGAATGTCCTGCCTGGACCACAGACAAAGCGGATCAGAGGAAAAAATTGATTGAAAACGTTGAAAGGTATTTCGACCCGGGATTCAGTTTCCGTGGATGTTACATTTTTTCGCTCAGTGAGTTGCCTTCATATACCGAAACTTCAATAAACAGAAATGTTACAGATGATTCGATATGCCGCTTGTAAAGTGATTCGAAATCCGAATAATTGAAGTTCTCATGTGCCACGTGGCGCTCCATGCATGGAGAAGTTCAAATGACAGTTTATAGTGAAGGTCTCGGACAAATCTTCAAGAAGCCCATGGAACTTCTGCTTAAATTGGGACCAAGGAACTCTTATTTTGGGAGCATTCGGTGGATTGCAAAAGAAGACAAAGAAGAAATTTCGTTACTTCATTCGAACTTTGTAAATCTCCTCAGATTTAGTTGTCATCTAATAAAATTTTGCATCAAAATTCCTTGTATTTTGTTTCATTCCGTCGTTTGAAAGCTCATGATGTGTAGCGTTTCTATGCTCACGCCGCTGTATTTTCAGCAGACACTCAAAACTACATACAAATGTGTCAAGTTCTGAGCTTAACCCTTTTTACAACAAAACGTGTTCAAAATAGAATTCGCTACAAGCGCGCCAGAACCCCTTCTGTTTTCTTTTTATTTCTATACATTTTCTTCAGTCTTTTTTTCTGTACTAGAGAGCATTTCAATGCAAGAGTCTCAGAGAAAGCGCGCGCACACGTTCAAAGAAATAGGGGGGGGGGGGTCTCGCAACGATTTGACAACAAAAGAGAGGGGGAGAGGTACGGTCGAGAGGAGGAATGTGTCGATTTACGAGCTCACTGTTGAACTATTTTATAAAGATTTTTAAGAAACGGTGACACCTAGAAGAAAGGAACGGAGAAAAATATGTAAAGAAAGAAAGGACAAAAAGAAAAAAAATAATATTGATCATGAAAAGTGTCAGTCAAAAAAACTGAGCAGAATATATGATTAAAATATTTTAGAAGAATTAAAAACAATAAACTTGAAAACAGGATTGTGTTTGATAAAGTAGCAATCTGTTTGGTAGTTTCCTACTATATTTTTTTCTCATCGCACATCTTGAAACATCATTCACATCAGCGAGAAAGAAAAAAAAACTGATATTGATACCCTGAAAACGGAATAGTCATTATATTAAAAACTTTCGTTAACCTCTCACTAACAAGCTTATCTTCTTCCATTGAAAAAATCTTGCTTCATTTGTTCCCTAGCAGCCATATCATTCCAAAATACCGAAAACTTCTTGAGCTGCTCTGAAAAAAACTTTTATGGAAAAAAGTCAGTTACAGTACCGGCCAATAAGATAAACAAAAACGTGTTTTTTTTTGTTGATTTAAGCCATTTTGAGCATTTTTCGATGTGGCTCAGCTGACAAGTATCCGATCACTTTGAAATGTTTCGAGGATGTGAAACAGACCTAGATTGAAGCCTTCGAGTTTTCAGAATTTTTAGGATATTCCTAGTTTTCAGCCATTTGCCGTTTTCTGAAAGGCACATCCATATTCGTACTGAAACTGTAGAAAAAATGCCTTTCAAAACTCGCCAAAAAGCTGAAAAACTTGAATTTTCAGAGAATTTCTTTAAAAGCAAAGTTTTCTATCTAGATCATTTACAATCTCCAAAAATTTCAAAGTGTTCCGAAACTTGACAGCCGAGCTTCATAGTCTTGAAAATGGTGAAAATAACCAAAAATAAAAATTCGTTTTTGTATGACTTATTGACAGGTACTGTACGATAAAAGTTTTACTACCTCCGAAGCACTGAACCACTTCTCCCATCATTTCTGAGACGCCATGGGCTTCCAAATGGTGCTCAATTGCAATTTCGGGCGAGGCACATGTTTTTCCGCAATAGTTACAGTAACATTTGTTGATGCAATGATAATGAGCATGATACTTTAGTTTTTCCATAGGTCCGTAGAACGTATTTGAACATAGCTGAAAGTGAATATCTGATTAGAAATCAAAATTCGTTAGAAAAAATACCTGACAAATGAATTTCGAAGTGCCAGCATCCTTTTTCGCTTTTCCAGATAGTTTCAAACAAAGATTGGTAGTTGGCGGAGTGCAGTAGAGCACCCTGCGCTTTTTCAAAGTCCTAAACTGCTTTTGCTGCTGGCAAGTTGCTCTTCCACAACTCAAATTCGGATTGTTGGTGAATGAAAACGGTCCAGAAGTATCAAATCCTTCGAAACCATCGTAGGCGGCTAGATCGAGGCGGTTGAACTCTCCGATCCGAGTTGCTGATCCGAGTTGACGCTGATTTTGTGGGTATGGACCCATGTCCAAAGAATCTTCCAGAGCGAATTCCTCTTCCATGTCAATACCTCTAATTTCGAAGTCTTGATTACATCTAGATGGCGGTTGAAAAAACTCTTCGCTGCAAATGGTGCTACCTGGCTGGTACACTGCCTCGTTAGTTGCTCCATCGGCAGCAAAGTAAAGATTTTGAGAAGAAGATCCCATGACAGAGAGATCAGACTTTTCACAGGCTGTGAGAAAGTCCAGATCGTTGCCAACAGAATCTTCCAGGACTTGCACAGTTCCAACAGTCCTCGATGGAGTGTCTCCTTCTTGAGCAGATTCTACCATATGCTCTCCATGTATGATATAGTCACGGGTCCGATAAATATCTTCCAGGTTTGATCCTCCACTTGATTTTCCATTTGGTTTCATTTCCAAAATTTCGGCGACGGCGTTTCCAGACTTTTCCTGAAAATTTGATAAAATTTTGGAATTCATCAAAGGCTTTTAAAAAACTGATAGAGGGATGTTTGGAAGGGAACTTGAAAATCAAAAATTTTCAAAATTTTGGACCGTATTCAGGAATATTTTTAAAGTTTTTTTGAAATCATAGCTTTTTGGATTGCGGTACGTTGAAAGTTCTAGCGAAAAGATTCATTCTTTTGTCTCGAGCGGTGTTACTTATAATCTTTTTTGAATTTTCGAAATTCGTTTGTCAGTTTGCAACCAATTTTTTTTGCGTTTTTCGGACGGAATTTCTACTCGAAAAATATGGTTAATTGGAATAATTCGAATCTGCAAAATTGCGAATTTTTCAAGATCCGATTCTCCTGGAATTTCGAAATTTTTGAAATCGAATAATTTTAAACTAGAGTCATGGAAAGAAATTAATAAGTCACAAAAAAAAGACTAACCAGTGCTTTCACAATTTGTTCCACAGACTGTTCAGCATTTCCATTATCATATATTTTGATGATGAACTTCGCTTGACCCAAGTCATCCATAGCTGAAAAATCGGAAATAAGTTGGAGAGTTAGTAGCGAGAAGTCTAAAATGATCACATGTGAAACAAAAAAGATTGAATAAACAGAGAAAAATCAATGTGTGTGCTAGGTATATGCTAGGTATATGTTGACGACCAATTTTCGAATTTCAATGAATGGAAAAAAAGCAATTACTTTTATGGAGGGCTCCAGGAATAAGTCGAAAACAATAACTGGTGGGAAACTCAAAAGGCTAAATGTAAATGTCGGGTCATAAAAATTTTTTTTTGTTTCAAACGATGAGATAATGTGTTTTGTAGAAAATACAGATTCCTTAATTACAATAGTCTTCATCTTTTAAGTAGAAGTTTGGGATTTGTATTAAAAATACATTTCGAGAAAAAAAAATTAAATCGGAAAAACAATAATAGACGCTGATCTAAAAGAGGAAATGTGAAAAATGAAAATATTTTTCAAAAAAATCCCATGAACGTGGTCCGGCTGATCTTTGTTAAAAGAAATTTGAAAATATACGGTCTTTCAAAGTATGTTTCAAAAAAAACATACGCATTTCATAACGCATTCTGGTCGTCACGAGTGACCTTCATCGTACAAGCCAAATTCAAATGCTGCAAAAAGACCAACAATAATATAGAAAGAAAACATAGAGAGTGGAGAATAAAGGCGCCAAAAGTTAGAATTTTGAATATCCAAGTTTTTCTTTTGTTTTTTTTTTTTGAATTAACGGTACAAAATTCTTTTTTCAATCTTTCGGAAAATCTTTCCACCGTAATCCATTTCGTATCTACATTTTTTGATTAGTGATCAAAGTAGTAAAGGGATTTTTTTGTTTTTATTTTCTCTCCTCAGGATTGATTTGAAAAAAAACTTATTAGACGGTTTTTTTTCCAGTCACATTATGTGTCTAGTGTTAGGTTATAAGAAGGTTAATACAAAAAGGCTGTGAATTGACCAAACATGTTTGATCGCAAATTGTGTGAGTTATGGTTTTCAGATTTTAGCTGAATGTGTGAATTTTGAAAAAAAAGATAGATTTTCAAATTTATAAATTTTCATGATTCCTAAAAATAGAAAAATTTGTGATTTTTTGAAATATTTTTAACGATCTTCTTTCGAAATGGATCATTTTTCCATGTCAATCCCCGACAAGATTTTTTCGACAAATAATTGTCATTTTAATCCCTATGTAGATAAAACACTCTATTAGAACGCCACCCAGACCGTTGACTTTGAGCCTGTAACATTTTATTAGTCAATCACTTTTTGATATCTCTCACAGAGAATGAGATACACGGGCTCAAATTTAGGAATTTTAAAAATGTTTGCCGAATTTTTTTTTCACGACCCCATCCTAAAAGTTTTGGAGACCATCGTCTAAAAAATATTTTTCAATTTACCACACCTGTTCCTCAAACTCAAGCCTTTAGGTTGGCGGGCGAACACCTTATCCACAACGCCCCCACGCAGTCTTTCTTCTTTCTCTTTCAATGCGTACACTTCTACAGTTGCGCACGTGAGAGATGCAGATGTTCGACCTCCTTTCGACTCAACGAGCGGCGCAGTGAGTTGAGGGCAGTAATACATTATCCTTATATGAGCGATTAAAGCTGGAAATTCTAGAAATTGTTTTTGTTTTTGCAAACTACTGGTCCACAGTTATCATTCTCGTCCATTTCACGAGCTGCCAGCACTTTGGTATTCCTATAATTCCGCTTCGGATTTTTTTTTTCAAATGACTTTGCTTTTAGAAAAAGCGTTTTTTTTTTGAAATTCAGTTGCGCTCATTGAATTTTTTGTATGTTCGAGCTGTCCATTTTCACCAATACTATTCTTTCTTGGAGTAGATCATGAGCACATTCAATTATTTCGCAAAGAAAATACAGGTTATTCTGGTATAGAACATAGACATTCTGGTATAGAATTTGGGCGAACTGTGAGTCCTTTGATGTTTTTGTTAATATTTTTATTGGACTCAGTGTACGAGTTTTCTCATTTTCTGATCAGCAAATTCCTTACCAACATAACAGCAGTTTTGAAAAAATTACTTGAGTGTTCGAATTCTTTCGGAATACCGTAATCATGAATCGATTTTTTTTCAGTTTTTTGTAGACTAATAAAAGCTGTATAGTTTGTGTCACATATTTCTTATAAACCCCAATAACGTAGGCTGATACATAGCCCCATTTCAGCGTTTTTTGGGGGCACTGTAGACTTTAATCACCTTTAGTTTTTTGATAGGGATTTTTAATTTTTTCCAATTGCTTTTTACTTATCAGTTTCTCTATCATTCTGCCTCATGTCATAGTAGCTTTCTTAGTAGATTTCTTACCATTTTAATATATTTTTCAGATGTTTTCCTCGGCTGATCTTCTTGCTGGAAATGGTCTTGTAGAAATTTCTGAACCCATAATATCAAAGTCCGAACTCCGGGATGGCCATCCCATTGGAGGTGATAAAATGAAGGAATTGTTCCAAATTGGTAGATGGGGAGTCGACCCGACAAGCGTTTCTAACTCGGCGCGGATTCTCGAAAAAATGCCAGGATTCTCGAAATTTCCAACTGTGCCTGAAAAATCATCAATAGGAAAAATCGAAGGGGACTACTATCTTTTGCAACCAGAAGGACCACTGAACCTCATGGAGTTTTACATGCAACTGCACAAAATCAATTTTGAATCGGGTGGTTGGGCAAACCAACTCGCTCTCTGTGACAGAAGCATGAAATTGACTGGCATGAAATTGACTGGCATGAACGAAAATATTATAGAAATAAAGACTCATTTGATGGCATTTGGAGTAACCTGTAAATAGAGGAAAAAATTGGGAAAAAAGCTTAGATTTATTGATCAAAATAATTTTAAGCACCAACTTTCTCTTTGAGAAGTGATATTGTTCTTCAAGAACAAAACCATCCTTATAGGCCAAAAAAAGTAATCCGATATTAAATTGCATATAAAGTTTTCCAGATGTGCCACAAGTTGGTGAACGACTCTTGCGGAATGCGCAATGCGCGGCTTCACGCGTGGACCCACTCTAAGAAAGAGTACACCTGCAAGTACTGTAAGGAGAAATGTGATTCGTTCTTTGAGATGCAAGTTCACTACAAAAATATTCATTTCAAAGTACACCGGATGATGGGACCTCGTGAAAAGTGAGAAAAATTCGTATATCTTTGAACCTTTAATTTATGGACCCATATCTTCAAAAGTTGAAGCAATTTATCTCGATACCTGTGAATGTTATCAAAAAGTTGCCAACTGATCAATTGTTCATCATAATATCTTAAAAATTCGTACAGTTGACACATTTTAGATATCCTGAATAGGAGCCAAGAGAAGTTAACTTAAACTTGACAATGTGGGGTCATTATCTTACAGGTTTCATGGCAAATGATCATATATCATGTTTTTCAGGCCAATCACCCATGATCCCAAACTGCAGCAGCTCATGTACCAGTGTTATGGAGGTATAATTGGGAACTAATGCATAACTTCTTATAAAAACACTTTTTCAGAACAACTCTGTCGTTTTGCGTACGCTGGGGAGAGAATTTGCATGCTTTTCCGGGAAGGACAGAGAAACGACAAGGGTTCGGATGCCAATTCAAAGAATGAATCGCTTGATTGAAGGGCTTGGAGTGTTCAATTATGAGAAATTCCTTTTTATCACACTTCTCTTTTACAGCTTTCTTCAAATCTGATTTTTTCTAATTTCACGTCCACCCAACCCTTTCCGGAATTGATTTTAATCACAAAATCCTAAATTTTCCAAACTCAATCCCAAATTGTTCAAAAAATTTTGTTTCCCAGTACCCAGAAGCACCAGACCAACCCATAACGTAATTTTCCAAGATTCTCACAAACGATCTACCATGTTGTGTTATATAAGGTTTCTTTGATTTGTGTGTTTCCAGACCATGCCCTCCCCTCCTCCCCCGAACAACTTTCAAAATAATTCATAAAAAATATTGTTTTTATTCATTTTTCCATCTGTCCCATGAAAAATGATTTCCAATTGAAACTGCAAATAATTAGATAGAAGTTCATTGATCCCCAATTTTCCAAAATATTCCGAAAATTCCAAAATGTTCTCTGTTTTGAAAAGGAAGTACCGTAAACACGATAATATAATGTTTTTCCTATTTTTAGATTTGAACCAGTTTATCTCGGGTCCTGTAAAAAGCAACAGAAAGTGGTTCACTGACAAAATGTCGATGATAAACTAATGAACATTTTATTTGTTGACTGCCTACTGATATTTCTCACTGAACGTGAGATATTTGAGTTTGATATGGGCCGTTTTGGCACAAGAATTAGATATTTTCGGTATCTCAGTGCTTGGATTTCCTGAAGATTCTTATCGTGCCTGTTGGCTGTATTCCTCTCAGTTTTGACAAACAAATCATTCGTTTTGATGATTAGACATGATTTTCATGAATAAGTAACCGCATTATGGTACGGCCCCATGTTGGAATATAACTTTTCTCGGAGATCCCTGACCATCAGCTACCTCGTGGAACTACCAAATCTCTTTAAATTTGTGTTTGAGGCTCACTTTTCATCGGCCTGTGTTCAAAGCCAACATTCGTAGCCAACCTGCAAAACGACCGTTTGTTACACTCAGAGTATCACAAAAACAAAATAAGAAGAAGAGAAACCTTCGAACACGGGGGCGAATTGTTTCCTGAAAAAAAAGACCAATGCACTAAGCAATATATTGAACGACTAGAAACATTACAACATGTGAATGGAGGAGCCATCTTTCCGCTTGCTTGAAGCACCCGAAAGAAAACCTACATTACAACATAGAACGAGCGATAGAAGCAAAGAGAAAAAAATAACAGACAAGCTGAATGAAACGAATAATCTCTACCATTGCAAATGAATAACAGTTTATTTCGGATCATGATGGACAAGGGATCCTCAGTTTATGATGTTTGAAGGCAAAAGTGGTATGAGTTGGTCTCTACTTGCTCCTTCTCTGGTAGATATAGAGTGAAAAACAGTGTTGATAGAAATGGACATGCAAAATGCGAAAAAAAAATCAGTTTTCGTTTCGAAAAAATTCGATTAAATTTTTTCGGAAATTTTGACAAAACCAAAAAAATCACCGGAAGAAACGTATTTAATGTTTGTGTGAAATGAAGAGTTGAAATAATTATTATTTCAAAAATGAAACAAATTTATTAATTGTGATTAGCTTGTGAAGCTTTTGGAAGGTTCTTGGAAAGTTTTGGAACTTCTCAAGTTAATACAAAACAATATTTCTTTTTTTTCATAATTTGTACGAAACTGTCCATTATGAAAATTGAAAACATGTTTGTGTTCGAATTTGGAAAAAGTTTGTAAAATATTTTCTCTAAATCTTCATTGGGTCGATTTATTTTGGAGATCTGCCCATCATTCCACATGAAACTACTGAGCACTACTACTGGATCTGTCCCTCCGAAAAGACGGCTCTTCAGTTTTTGCTCTTTATGTCCTTGTATCTACGCCACTGACGTACATCGCTTGAATCTTCTTTCGTTAGCGGCGGGTTGCAGAGGGCGTGGTTTGGAGGGACGATGGCGGAGGGGGGCTCTCCGCCCCTTCCTCATTCGTGGAGCTCTTTTCTGTGGTTCATCTGTGGTAATGTTGAGCTCAGCTTCTGAACCCTATCATAGAATATTTCCAGCATTTGTTTCTGACTATGGTCTTGTTAGAACGTTTTCAAAGTTCATATTCAAGCTTAATAATGAATTCTCATAAAAATTTCGTGATTTCATTAATATTTTTGATATTTTTGATTGGAATTAAGAATGAGCTTATTTCTTTAGTTTGACTTACCCGTTCATAATCTCTTACTTTGGTTCTTCCGATTTTTTATTTCTTTTTCCATCCATCATATTTTAACCTAACCTGCATCCGTTCAAGTTATAATTTCCTTTTTTTTTTCTTCAGTTTTTACTCCTTTTTATCATAATATCATTAACACTTTTACATGATTTATTTTCATTTTCAGTTTTTATTACCCCTCATTGGGATCAAAAAAAAATCTATAAACCAAATTATGCACCCCAATGACCCTTAAATGTTTGCACTTTCCGGGTTATTTATAAGAAACTGAGTTACTTACCGTTAACACTCTAAGGACACTTTGGATCACTATATCTCGATTTCTGTAAAAGATATGGGACAGTTGCCAACTGATAAAGTGTTGATTATAATATTTAAAACATTTTATCAGCTGATCGCTTTCCAATATTTTTCACAGGAACTGCGATAAAATAGCTCAAAGTGGAAGTAAAGGGTGGCTTTCTATTAGACAGCTTTCTGTTGGTTTTTTTTTTGACTGTTACAATTTTTCCTTCATGTTAAAATTTTCCTTAAAATCCATTTTCCCTTCTAACAATTTTTTCCAGGCACCCCGATGAAGGCTCCCTACACTTTCCTCTTCTTCGTGCTTGCAACATAAAACCGCCGGGCACAACAAAATGTTTGTGCCCGGCGGCCACTCGGATGAGATGGTGCAGAGGCAATCAGCCGCATAGAGCAGAAACCAACAGAAAGAAGAAGCAAGAAAATGTAATTGCGAAGAAAAGAGCATTGCTCCGTGTGAGACTTAGAACGGGAGCCGCGGCAGTAACTTGAGGAGATGTCCCTTCGGGACTACGAGAGATGGGAGCCGCGATAGGAGACGTGAGAGAAGAACTCAAAGAACATCAAACACACAAACGGACCAACAGCGTAAACAAAATAAATAGAAAGTAAAAAGAAGAGACGTACTCTGAAGAAGAAGCACGCATCAGATTATTCATGCAACACTCTTAGGTCCCTGCGCCGTGGAGCCGCAGAGCCTGGCACTGCCTGGCACCAGGAACTGGCACGCACATCTAGAGCAGCAGAGCACTAGAGTAAGAAGGAGAAGTTGTTTAGAGAAAGAAAAGAAGAATCTAGTAACTTAATCATGAACCAGAATATGTGTATGATAAGAAAAGGCAATCATGATTCCAGGTTTTCAGATCAGTAATTCAAAATTTTCCAACAGGCTCCTTCAAGGCGATGTTTCCTCCAACTCTGGAGGTATTCAAACCTATGAACAGCTCAACTTCAAGGGTTTTTCATGATTTTTTTGAATTCAGATTTGTGATTTCAAATCGGGAATGAACTGGCCCAAAGAAAGGACACAATTGAATCCAGCATTTCCTTTAATAGAACCTTAACCGATACGTGCATTTTGAGATGAATTATCTTGGTTCCCATAAGAGATATCAAAAACATGTCCACTGATTAGTGGTTTCATGATAACAATTTGATAGTTGTAAAATTTTTGATATCTCTTTTAGGTACCTAGGTAATTGAGCTAGAATACACGTGTCGGATAGTCTCCTAGAGCGAAGACGGTATTTGGAGACAACACAATGTTTAGTTTGCGATGTTTTTTCCATAATAAATGTTTTTGTTGATGTTCGATTTATAGTTTTTCGGTTCGATTAATGTCCGGTTCATACCTGTTGGTTTTTGCTCCTCAATGATAATTAATGACTCGAATTTGGCAAGATTGCTAGATCCGTAAAACTCTCAAAAAACTTGTTGTACGAAATAATTTTTCATTCACTTTAGAGACCAGCTTTAAGAACTTCAGAAGCCAGAACGACACAGGTAACGAAACAATTTCAACTTTCTTTTCAAGTGATTAATATGAATCATAATGGTTTGACCCGAAAAGCCTTACTGTTCTAATATATTCCTGTAATAACTACACTGAAACCACATACCGTAAAACCTGTAATAGAATTGCCCGCAGACTGCCAACTTCAAGCCAGTTTATATCGGTTTCTGTGAGAGATATCAAAAATGTGTCAACTGATAAAATGTTTGTTATATTACGATAAACAATTTATCAGTCGACGACTTCATCTTTTACAGGAACTGAGATAAAATGGCTCAAACTTGAAAGCTGGGAGGCCCTTCTATTACAGGTTTTACGGTAATTCAAAATTCAAGTAAAACATTCAAATTTTCCAGTTGATATTTTTTATAATATTTTTTTTAATATTCTTCCTCCATATCATTCTTCTATTTTCCTTCATTATTCCCTGAAATTTCTAATGTTCTTGAAGTTTCCGGCACATAATTCGGAGGGTACAAAAAGTTTTTGGTCATTGGAGTAAAAAATACCTGAAAAAGTCGAATTTTGTATCTTTGAAAGGGTAACTCTGACCAACATTTTATTGCATTAAAATTTTCGAAGAGTTGTCTATTTTCCCAATAATATAGCGAAAAAGCTCGAAAAAAAATCCGAAATCCCCGAAAAATGCCGTTAAACGCGAAAAATTATCAAAGAAAAGTTTCTAGGAGGGACGAGGATTTGAATTCCCGCGCAGTGAGAAATCTAGGCCACGGCGCCTGATAGCCGTTTTTTTCAAGTGACCGACAGTGGGTTTGTACGTTTTTTACCTGCCGGACATGAAAACCGGGAAAACCCAGAAAAATTTGTGAGAAAGGCGCTAAGAAATCCTATTTTTTTTCAACGCCGTTTTTCGGAGATTTAGGAATTTTTTTGAATTTTTTCGCAATGATATTAAGAAAATAATATTTTTTGAAACATTTTAAAGCAATAAAAATTTTTGGTCGGAGTCACCTTTTAATCACTTTGTATCCCAATGTACCCCCGAATCGTTATACCCTATGTGCCGAAACTTCCGAGTTCACTAGATAAAATCCATTTTACAAAATCCATAGGCGCAAATTAAGAAGACTTTTTTTTCAAGAAGAGAAGTCTCTGAAATGTGGCGTAACATAAGAACTTTTTTATCAACAAGTTTTTATTCATGAACTCTTTGTAAATGAAGTACGAAAAAGAGAAGGAATATAAATTATGAGGTGAAAATCAAGTTCGGGGAATGTTCAGACAAGAATAGTATTGCGGAGAGAAAAAAGTAGAAGAGAGAAAATATTAATGATTGAGAATATTGAAAGAGACCGAGAGAATCGGGAGACGGAAGCTTTGGCGCTCTTATTCCTTCGATCCACTGGCATACTGTGGCTTCAATGTAAAGCCGCGACGCTGGAACTCTTCCCAAGTAAATGGGTAGTTACACATTTCTGTGTAGCAATAACAGAAATACATCTCTGACGAAGGCAGGCCGAGATTGTCGTTGACTGTCTGAAAACAAAAATTTTGATTTTAAAGGATAGGCGCGGTTGAAAAACTGTGCTTAGATGTCAAAAACACACCTGGCGAATGCAATCGTCGCTCGTCGTTGAATTAGCAATATTTCGGATGCGAGACGGATGTCTTTGAATACCTCCGAAAGCTCCGGTGCCATCGGAGACCTCATAAACGGCCGTGCAGGCCGTGCGATGGTGGAGGGTCTCGACGATTTCTTGATAATCATTATAGCCGTAGCAAGAGAGGGCGATGATGGGAACAGTGAAGAGGGAAATGATGAGGATGGGACGAATCATTTTCAAGCTCGAGAAGAATTTTCGAGCTTGAGTTGAGGAGAGGTAGGACGATGTTGCTGAATATGTGTTACAGAGAGGTAGGACAATGAAGATACCGAGCAAGGCTTTTATATACTCCCCGGATGGCTCCGCCTCTCTTTTGAAGGGCTTTGCTGCGTTCAAGCTCCACCCATTTAACGACGACTGTTGGGACCTTGTGTTTTTTAGATACTGAAACATCTCTCAAGCTACATCATAGTTTCTAATCCGACGAAGCAGATTTGGAAGAGCCTTGCTCATTTAATAAATACAGTTTTTTGGAACAGTTATAAATTGATCAACAAAACAGAAACTTGTAAAAACTTTGCATTAACATTTCTATTATTTCGGGAAAATTTATCATAAAAAAGCTATTCATCGATGATACTCAGAAATAAGTCATTATCAAAATATCGTTTGAATGTAAGGAAAACCAAACACGGACTACAATCAGCTAGTTTTTGAAACAAAACTTTTTAATTCCTAACAAGGGAAGTGTTTTCAGAGGGACGTTGAGAATTAGCTCAAAATTTGTACAAAGGTACTTTCGAACATGCTGAATACGATTTCAGCAATATCTCGGTCATAACCCTAATAGGAACAAAAATATGGGCTCTCAAAGTGTTTTCAGTACTAAATTTTGACCAAAAACGTGCATTTTTCGAGCTTTAAAACTCTTTTTCCAGAATTTTTTCAAGCGGGAAACTCTTTTTTGATCATTTCTCTATCATCTGAAGTATTTTGTACAATTTCAAAAAAAAATTTTTTTTTTTTTAAATCATCATGGGACCCTACACTTCAAAAGTAATTTTTTGGAAATTTTTTTGAAAGTGCAAAAAAGTCTTTCAAACACTCAGAAATGATGGAAACATCATTTTCACAGAATTTGGCAGCTCGATTTCAACTGTGAGCCCTGATAATTCCCAAAATCTGATAATTGCAAGAAATTTGAAAAACTGTAACTTCTAAAATATTTCTCAAAATCGCACGGAATACACAGAAATATGTAAAGATCATGTGGGTGATAGATTTGGTAGTAATCCACTCAAAAAAAAAAGCAAGACGGAGCAATTCCGAGAGTCGAAAGTTTTGCTTTTGGGCGATGGGACAAGTCGAAAAAAACAATATTTCAAAATTTTTTCAAAATTTCAAACGCCTTCTTTTTCACTTTGAAAACGTCGAAAATTCATGAAATAAGTATAATTTGTTATTCAGGGGACCAAAATGAATATCAAAAATTCGTCTCGAAAAAAACAAAAAAAAGATTTACCACAGTGGGGTTCGAACCACCATAGTCACTCCTAATGAGTCTCCCTCTTACCACAACACCACACAGCGGATATTTTCCTCTGGCGGGGAGTGCGTATAGGAGAGAGGGGCGTAGTGGAGTGAGGGAGAGGGCGAAATCGACCAAAAATTTTCAGACGAAGATTTTTAGCTTGTTGATGATAGTATGGCCTAGATTTTTTCGTCATCGTGTTGCGGATATCTCAAACCATCAGTACTGAAATTTTTAGAAAATTCTCAACGCCCCTCTGAAAACACTTCCCTTGTAAGATCAAAAAGGACGAAATTGGTAAAAATCCTTACGATGATTACTCTCATCTCCCTGATCTCGTTTGTGCCGAAAACGTTTAGAAACCACGAAAAATTTTCGAAAACTTGCTGGAAACTTCAGTCTCAAGTTCTGCCTTGCCCAAAGTAACCTAGCACTAACTTATTATCACCTTTTGCTATCACTTTACAACCATTTAGCTAGAAATTGATTCCATTTCCGCAAGAATTTTGATCACTGTTTTGCGTTCAAATTTTCAAAGTTTGATGCAAATATCATTGTCCAGTTCAAGTTATGCCAAAAACAAATTGAACTCCAATGGTGAATACAGTGAAGACTGTTTCAAAACGCCGCCCTAGACTTGCACTTGAAGCTCAAATATCTGAATTACTGTAGAAGGTATCAAAATTTTGTAAACTGCAAAAATTTTGGTGGGACTATGAAAAAGATTTTATCAGTTGACCAATTTTTTATACCTCGTGATCGAGATATTTGAGCTCAAAATATCAATAAATGGTGGTTATTATATTTTTATGGTACATATCTTACTAATTCTTGTTGACTCTTAATAAAACTTGACTTGAAATAGTTTCTACAGCCTTTTGAGCAATCTAATAAAATGCAGGTTAATAAGAGAATTTCAAATTACATGAATAATTTCAAATTCAAAAACATTTGAAAATTCTGTTTCTAAAAGTGAGCTTTTCCCTTTTTTGGTTGGTTTTTCTATTTACCTTCAATCCTTCGAGCAAAATCAAAATAAAAATTACAGTCCTTTTAAAATTCCTATTTTTCTGAAACATTTTCTTTTTCTCACAACAACCTTTTCTCCGATGATCCAATTAGACAAATAATTTTGAACGGTTCAAACCATGAAAACTTCTTTAACAGCAAATTTTTCTTCATTCAGTTTCTGTAAGTGCAACAAGAAAATTTAAAAATTAGGTACAAATCAAATTGAAAGAATAGTCATGAAAGTATTATAATTGACTTTTGCAGAATGAAGGAACAATCAGGGAACTAGAAAAAATGCAAATTGGGAAAATTGGAAAGGAAGGCAATCCAAAGCCAAGAGAGACGCAAAGTACTCAGTGATCCTTGACATACTTGGATTTCAGAGTAAAATTCCGTTTCTGGAATTCATCCCACGTGAACATATAGTTTTTTTTTTCTGGAATTCATCCCACGTGAACATATACATGTTTGAAAAACAAAAGCAAAAATATGTTTGCATGGAAGGGATGCTAATTGTTGGTGACGTTCTGAAAAAAATATGTTCCGTGATTCATCAAGACAGTTTTCAAAAAACTAATTAGTGTTAAAGAACTGCTGTTGTATTTCAAAAACGCACCTTCAGGACACAATCTTCACCCTTTGTCATATTTACAATGGTCGCAACTTGAGACGGATGACGATCACTACCATTGAATGCTCCGGTTCCCACGGCTACATGAAAAACAGCCGTGCAGAAGGTCCGATGGTGGACAGTGCGAACAGTCTCCGAGTAATGATCGAACGCGTAACAAGATAATCCGATGACAGGAGTAATGATCAGTAGGGGAATGACGAGGTAGCGTATATATTGTATCATGTTGGGTGAAAGGTAGAGAGGGTGTTCAGTGAGGTTCGGCGACTGAGCAATGATGCCAAGCAGAAACGGCCTTTTATACTCCTCAAAAACGAAACTGGCTCCAGCTACTATGTGGCTCTAATGCTCCGCCCTGATCGTCAAAGACAGAAGAGATAACGACGTGGCTGCTAACTGATTCTATAGAAAAAAGTCCTTCTACTTTTTCTCATTCTTTTTGGCACGGGATAGTAACAGAATTTTTGGAAAAAAAAAACCTTATTATGAAATTAATTAGAGTGGAAACTTACAGGAGAAGAGCCCGAAGTGTGTGATTGCTTATTTTCAGATATTGCCGCCAAAAACGTCATTAACCAGGACCAGAACCAAACTAATAATATAAGGGGCCCATGGCAGAGCTGAATGACAAAACTTATTTTCTGATTTTTCCGAAAAAATGGCTCTTTTCAATTCAAAAAGCTTAATTTTGTACAGAGCAAAGGTAAAATTGTGAATTAACATGTATCTTGTAGAACGGATTTCAGGCTACGATAAAATTAAATACATCTTTATATGTATTAGTTTATTTGAAGATAATAGATAAGAAAGAAAATGGTAAAGGGAAAGAAAGATTGTGTCAGATCACAGGGATGATGGCAAGTCAGAAACGGGTAATCGAGATCTCAAGAAGTTTCAAGAATTGGAATTGTGAAAGTGATTGAAAGGTGGGGGCAGTTCTTTACAATAGCATTCCAAACCGGGATCGTTTGGGCAAAATAGTCGTTGATTTTGGGGTGATGGCATATAAGTAACATAGGGTGACGGGCCGAGGAGGAAACGGAGACATGAGAATCAAGATTAGGAAAATAAGAGGCGCCGCTGATTAATTTATAAAGTAACATAAGTTGTGATTTGAGGCGACGATGGCGGATGAAGAACACGTTCAGGATTTTGAGATGATTTTCATAGGAAGAGAAGGGGATGTTACATCTTTGGAGGACTATTTTGGAGAAGTGGCGGAGAGGTCATCTATCTCTGAAAAGCAATTCACAAGGATGGGAAATGTGCGGAGCGTATTTGAGAGACTCAGTCTGCCCGGTTTTTTAAGTCATAATACACAGCTATGCTGTCTAGTACATATCTTATTTAAAAGATAATTAAAAAATATAAGCTTTTATTTCAATAAGACTCATTTTTTCAAACTTCAGTGAAGACTGTGACAGTATCAAAAAATGAATACAACATTTTGAAAACTCTGTTCCGAAAAGTGAGTTCCACCACTAGATTAATCAAATTTGAAAAACTTGATTTTGAAGACATTTTTGAAGACAAAGTTTTCGAAAAGTCTTTAATTTTTCAAGAATGAATTTTTAAATTAAAAATTGTCCAAAAAATAAGTTTTCAAATTTTTGTGTGTATGACAAACTTTGAAAAATATACATTACTCAAACCAAGAACTTTTTCACAGAGTACTACATATTCAATGCCCTTTATCCCATTTTATGTGCCAATGACAGCCTACAACTTTTGATTCTGAAATGACTGAACCTTTTATTCCACCCCTTGATTCCAATTTTGCTCTTTGGCCTGGTGATGTGGCCGGAGCAGTACAAAGTTTGAATTCAAGATGGGCGGAGATTTGGAGAGAAGAAGAGGAGGAGACGCTTTTCGAAAAAAAGGGCGGAGTTCATCCCCTATAAAAAGGGCTCACCGGCAGCTTTTCATCGCATTTCTGTCGTTCAACGCAAAGTCTTTATCACCTCTCCCCTACCTCCCCTTCTTCCTTCTACTTCTTTCTTCTTCTCCTTGAAGATGGTTATCTTCAAGCTTGCCCTGATCTCCATACTGGGAGCCTCCGCAATGGCCCTAAGCTGTTATTCCCTCAGCCCATACTCCAACGTAGTCGAGGTGAAGCACCACCAAAGATTCTGCTACAGCTTGTTCTCTCCGTCGGAAAACTCGGCCTCCCATGGAGGGCAGACAGTTCACCCTGCCAAAGCATCCAAGTTGTGGCACCTCGAAAGCTCCAAAGATTGCGTCGAAAAGGTTTGTTGAGTCATTAGCTAAGTAAAACACAGTAGTAATCCGAACTATTTTCAGATCATCAAAGCGGTTGAGGCAGAGCGCAGCTTGTACATTTGTAAGTGCTATGAAAATATGTGTAACTACCCCTTCTCGTTCCGGGAGTTTGCTGCCCGGAATTTCACAATAAAACCAGATTATTCACATTTGGTCAACGGCGCCATCTAATGCTTCTTCAACTACGATGATCAATGTCCATGAACTCTATTTTTCTTATTTTCCCCTCAAATTTTGATTTCTCATTCGGTTCTTACTGATTTTTTTTTCATGATTTTCATTGTCATCTTCAAAAAATACCAGAGAATGAATTTGTTCAGCAGTCAGTGTTTGAATTAAAAATTTCAGAAAAAAAAACGTTTCTGCGGTCTCGTTGGTTCGCTTAATCAAAAGTGTTCTTGGTTTTCTTTTTCATAGAGAACAATATTCCAAATCATTGGTTGTCAAAAAATTAGAACTCGTCAAAACTCTAATGGAATGCCCCTCGGCATTTGGAGTTCAACTTTTTTTAAATTTCTTTAAGAGATATAAAAAATCTGCGGACCAGAAAAGTATTGATGATACTATAGCTCACATTTCATCAGTTGACCAACTTCGGATATCTCTGAGGAAAACAAGGATAGTTGAGCTCAAAGTGTATCTATTGGCTTGTGTTCTATCAAAACAGTTTTCAGTGCTTGCTTTGTCTTAACCCACGTTTAACCACATATACATACGTTTCAAGCTTCTGCAGAACCCTATTCCCACCGTCCCTTCTTCCCATAGATCCACTCGTCTAGATTTTCGCAAAGCCGACTTCAAAGCCATTAATCAGCACATGGCATCCATCGATTGGCTTTCCTTTTTACCCTCTTCTTTTTCTCCGTCCGAAATGTACGACCTATTCATCAAAACAGTTCACGACTTGATCTCTTCATATACGCCCCTATTTGTTTCATCACCTCCCAAATCATCCTCTTCCAACTTGCTCCGTCGTCTACGCCGAATCCGAGGAGCCGCTGCTAAAATTCTCAAATCTAATCAGTATCACTCCCCTCGCCTCTCTCGTTTACTCTCGAAACAAAAAGCATTGTTCAAGCTTCACCAGAAAAGCACGTCGGCTTTAGAGCGTCATGACTCTAGAGCTGCAAAAACACTCGTTCGTCGCAGACTCAAAGCCAACCCATCGTCGCATCCTATCACGGTAAATACAGTTTTCCACCAAGGAGAAAAGAACGAATATCAGCAAAGGATAATACGGCTGCCCAGGGTTTCAAGAAAAAACTATAACTTTTATTTTTTTTAAATTTTAAATTTTTTCTATTATTCGCTGATTTAACGTCAAAATAGTGTCATTCTGGAGCCAGCAAAACACATTTTAGCTCATTTCATACATTCCCCTGTCAAATTAAATTCTTAGTTTAATTGCTAGTGTGTTTTCCCTTTGTTCATTTCTCTCTTGATTTTATTAATTACTGATTATAAGAAGTCTTGAATACCTGAAAATTTTTAACAAGATTTTCGGTTGTAAACCTTATGCTAAAAACCGCAAAAAAAAACCTATACGAGACAACCTGCACATCAAATTACCGGAGTCGAAGTCTATACGAGACAACCTGTACCTATACGAGACAACCTGCACATCAAATTACCGGAGTCGAAGTCTCTTCATCTTCCACACACACTCTCTCTCTCTCTCTCTCTCTCTCTTCGAGAGACGCAGATAGAAAAGACGCGCCATACTTGTAATGGGCCGGACC